CTGCTTTTCACCTTGTTCAGCTTAGTAAATACGGGTAGATGTGAACTGAGATGAGCCTTCTGTTCTCTGGTTTTGCACCTCCGGATAAGTAGTGGTTGTCTGGTGACAAGAGGGGTGACGGAGACCTGCTCATACACAGCTGGACGCTCAAGGCAGTGGTTAGGTACTTCGGTGTTTTTAAGGACATATATTCCCACAGCCAAACTGCGTGTTGACTCTGTGGCAGGAAAAAACCCAAGTTGTCTGCTGAGCAGGGACCAGGTACAAGGCTTTCTGTACGTCTTGCTGGAGCACCTGACAAATGTATATGATTTTTATATATGTAATTATTGTAGACCAAAGCAATTGGGGGCCAAATTTAGCTAAGATGCTTTTTTTTGCCTTCAGGACTGTGCTAACACGGCAATATCGCTTCTCAGGACCAGAGGTAGGATCTCTGCCATGCCTCACCACATTACCATGGCCAGAGAGAGACTCTTGGGCCCTGCAGTCCCTTCTGTGCCGTAGACTTGTCCTCAGGCCAGTCCTATTTTCAGTTCCCAGCTTTGCCTCTGATCTGTTACCTGACCATAGGAAGGTCACCAAAACTTCCTTGAAACCTTTCACACGCTGTATATCCTGTCTGGTCTAGATCTACTACAGATTGCTTGGTCTACCAAATGCTACGGTGCAGTCGGAAGCCGATATTTGTGCTTCTGTAATAAAAATTCTGGGAAAGGAGCTATCCCTCACCCTGTGTTTGTACGGTGCCTCACGCCAGGGAGCACTGATCTATTACAGATAATAAATAGTCATCAAATTGCTTATCTTTCTACCAATTCTGGCTCAGAGGAAGATAAGATCATTCACCTGCAGAAACCTTCATTGGCTGTGAGCCTTTTTGTGCACAGTTTGTATATTAATATCAAGCAGGATTTAGTCTATTAAATTTAAGTGGTACATGGTGTACATGTTCAGTACTGCCAACACTTTGTTTTTCAATAGATGTGCTGTGCATATTTGTTTTAAGCATCAGTATCATTGTATGATTTGATGATTTTGAGTTACTCAGGCTCGCTGAACAAAAATTTGTCTTCAATTTTTTAAAAAATGTTTGTAAATAATTTATTAAAAATTGCAATTATAAAAACTTGCATCAAAGTTTAATTGTACTAATCAAACCTTTTTAATTTATATTATAATACTGAAATATTTTTGTTGCTAACGTTTCAAAGAAAGCAGGAACATCCAACAATGGGAAACTATTAACTAATTATCTGCAGTGAGTACTGAAATGATAAAACAGCCTTTTGGAGCTGTAGCTTCTTTTGCAGGTGCAGTGATAATGTTTTCTTTTCTGGTTAGAGCAGTTCATTTCAAAGTGGAAAACAGGTCTGACAGCTGGGTAAAAAACATGTTCTCCTCTTCCTCTCTGTGGTTATGAAACCGATGGAGGAGGCTAAGACACTACCTAAATCCTGAAGGATGTGAGGTCCAACTGAAAACAAGAGCAGGAGCATATTCCGGACACTGAAGTGCAACATTTTAGGGGACTGTAAGCCAGTAATACCACGTTTGTTTGCAGTCAGTGTTTTTCTAATGTATATATCTGGCCTCTGGTCAAGAACTGTCTTGTATCTCTCACATGTAGAGGTGTAGAAGTCTGTCTGCAGGCACCAGCAGCGATGCCGGGGGAAATGTGCACGTTAGCAAGAGCCGCCTCTACTGTCAGAGCTGAGCCTCTGCATAAGCCTTTGTGTCCAAGGCCATTTTGGTGTCAGAATCTGTACAAGTACCCTTGAGTTGCCTTAGGAGCTTGATATCTCCCTGCTCACAGTAAGGAGAATGTCCGTGCTTCATTCTGCATCCAGCTTCCCAAACACTAGTTCTTGTTGTGTATCAGGGCCATGGTGACCAGAAGCAGTCTGTACACTTGACCTAGCCATAGAGAGGACCTGATTTTTTTCTTCCAGTAAACCAGTTATTTTTTACTTTCTGTTTTGATAAAGGTTGTTTGCTGTAATGTCTTGAGCAGATTGAAAATATTGTTGAACTAGAAGTTTTCAAATACTGCTTTTCTTCACTTTAAGTCTTTGTCCAAACGTTGCTTGATGCCATTATAAACCCAAATTACAAGTCATGTCATTCATAATTTTCAGTACTAACTTCTAAAATATTAAGAAACTGACTAGATCCATGTTTAATAAATACATTAAAAGTTGTACACATCTGTTTTGTGCACAGACAACATTCAGTCCATTTAGAATAAAGGATACCTTTAACTGCAAATCTTCATGTTTATGGTTAAAGAGCAAGAATGAACATTTCTTTAGGAGAAGGGAAACAAATACAATAAATAAAGGTTTTTGCTGGTGAGTTCAAAATTTGGATGTCTCTAGGAGGCAGGAGTGCCCATGTATGACATACGTCCCTTTTGTTTGTGGTAGTGGATAAGGAACACAAACACGTGGTTTTTCCTTGATTTCGCAACTGCAAAGTGGGGACTTTGCATTTCTACCGCACAGGAGTGCTGAGATGTGATGATACATCCTCCATGTATGCATCACTATTAAAATTCGTATTATTTCCTCCAGATATTTATTTGTGTATATATGTAAACTTCTCCAATCATTTTCTGCCATGCCAAGGCAGTTTAGGTAGTCTGATGTCTTGACTTTGATTCTGTGTGAGCTTTTAAAAAATAACAATCAAATTAAAACAAGTGAAAAACCCTGCTCACAAAGCATTCAATACCTATCTCTGTTATGTGGTAGCTTTTTTTTTTTTTTGGTGGCGCAGTGGATCTAGTCTTATGGTGCAGCAACAGGTGCTGGAGCATTTGCCATTGTTCTAACGCTAGCGAAGTAATTTACCAATATCCCATGCTCAAAACTTTCCAGAACATCTGGGTTTTTTTACTTTGTTCCCTGCACGTTAGTTTCAGAACCTTTTTGACTTACATTAAAAAAAAAAAAAAGAAAAGATATCCCCTTCCCACCCACCCTTGGGAATTATTTTACAGCAAAGGGGACCATTGCAGTTCTTTGTCTTATCTCTGATTACTAAAGGTCATGAAATTTAATCCAATATTTGAAAATCCCTTGGCAACAAATCATTGTGCACTAAGCATGGAACAAGAGAGGTCAGGGCACATCCCCTTATGGAACAAATAAGTAGGCAAGAAATGACCAGACTATCGTAGTACTGATGTATGCACATGCTACAAAGAAAGGAAGACGTTTCCCAGGATGTGCAGGGAAGGTCATACAGTACCACCTTGGTCCCAAATCTGGCAAGAAGTATGACTAAGTGTGACCCCATGTTGTGGTTTAACCCCAGTCAGCACCACGCAGCCACTCATCACTCCTCCCTGGTGGGATGGGGGAGAGAGTTCAGCCATCTCCAGGAAAGCAGGACTCCATCACGCGTAATGGTTACGTGGGAAGACAAAACGCCGTAACTCTGAACGTCCTCCTCTTTGTTCTTCTTCCCCCAGCTTTATATGCTGAGCAGGACGTCATATGGTATGGAATATCCCTTTGGTCAGTTGGGGTCAGCTGTCCCAGCTGTGTCCCCCCACCAGCTTCTTGTGCACCCCCAGCCTCCTCGCTGGTGGGGTGGGGTGAGAAGCAGAAGAGGCCCTGGCTTTGTGTGAGCACTGCTCAGCAATAATGAAAACACTCCTGTGTTATCAACACAGTTTTCAGCACAAGTCCAAAACACAGCCCCATCCTAGCTACTGTGAAGAAAACTAACTCTATCCCAGCCAAAACCAGCACACCTCAGTAGATGGGCAAAACGTGCCACCCAGGGAGCAATGAGCATTTTCAATTCTCTGTGTCTGAGTCCTGGTACTCTGTAGCCCGTGCCCCAAGTCCCAGTGGGACCCTGAGACGAAGGTTAAAAATACTTGAAGGTACATCTGGTAGGAGGAGGGTTGTAGCCCTCTGGGTGATTAACTGAAGCTCTGGAACATGAGATTTTGTTGCAGTCTTTATCTTAATGTGTAGCTGCAAGTGTAATGGGAAAGCTGAGGCAATCCTGTTCTCCCCAAGGCCCTTGGAGGGTAGGGACAGAGGCAACTTCCAGAGCTGCGGATGCTGTGGTTTCAAACGATTTCTGAGTACTAACTGCAGGCTGAATGGGAAACAAATACTGAAGGAGGATTGTCGCTTGTTGAAAACTGCTGCTCCATAGGAACTCGGGTTTTGGATAGTACGAAGGGAGATGGCGTCACCCAGGGCAGTGCTTTTTCCTCTGTTAAAGATATGGTGCTCAGACCTAGCTTTCTCACAGCATTTGCAGTTTTATTTTCCATTTTCATAAGAAAACTCCATCCTGCCACGCATACGTACCACAACCATGACCCGTAAGGAGGCTGCCTCCCTTCAGGCAGCTACCCGGAGCAAACCTAGCTGGGGATGCTTGCCACAGGTTCACCTCAGAGCAGCCTTTCCTTTGATTTCGGACTCCTCTGCTTCCTCTGTTGCAAAGCTGCTCCCTTAATGTTGTGCAACGCTCTTGCAGGCCAATCTGCCCCTGCTGCAGCGGGAGCTGCTGCACTGCGCAAGGCTAGCCAAGCAGAACCCAGCCCAGTACCTCGCCCAGCACGAACAGCTGCTTCTGGATGCCAGCACCACCTCACCTGTTGACTCCTCAGAGCTGCTTCTCGATGTGAACGAAAACGGGAAGAGGCGAACTCCAGACAGGTGAGCCCCACCGCGCCTTTCGCGCCCCGCTGGGAAGTGCCCCGCGGGTCGGAAGGCGCCGAGCTCCGCTGGCGCAGGGGGAGCGTGTGGGTGGGTGCCTGGGGGGAACCGGGATGGTGTTCCCTGCGTGTGGGTCCTGCCTTCATTACAGCTGTGCAATGGCCAAATTACCTTTGTGTACGTGCGTGTGCATGTATATATAGGGGTGTGTGTGTATATATAGAAATATATATAATATATAGAAATATATAAAATATATAAAAATAAATGGAAACATATAATACAAACATAAAAATATAAAAATATATTTAT